AAATAGCACGAATAGGAACGAAACAAAAGAGAGGTAAAAGTCACAATTTAAAGTAATTACACACAGGGGCTTATGCCAAGATGTTGCAGTGCCCTTCATCACAGTGAGAGGCCGGCAATTCTTGTTCGTAGGATGTGGGCAATTCACATTTCACATTGTCTTTCCATGGTGCCCACATGCTCAATTTTACTGAACAACAGGCCCCACTGTAGTTTATTTACCTACTGAAGCGAAAACCCACTTTAATGTAAGAACGTACGCCGAGGTGTCGGCTTGAGCAGAAACCAAGCACAAAAGAACTCCTCCAACTTCATTTGAACAGCTGGGGAGAGTCTGTTATGTATCAGGGGAAAAAATTAACAAAGGCCAAAAAGGAAAGAAAGAAGGGAGTGGGGGGGGGGACAACCCAGCAGCGCAGCATAGAACTAGAGAGCTAGCACTGCCCTCGCCCAGCTGTTGCACGATATGGAAGCGTCAGAAGAGGTGGGGAAATGGAAAAGCTGCAGCACATCTAAGCAAAAGGGATGCTTCCTCCTCCACACCCACCCACCCCCGTATGAAGATGATAATATTATATAAAACGAAAAGCAAAGTCAACTCTGTTTAGATCTAAATGCGGCCTTGGAAGACTGTGAAGGCAGTAGCTCTAAACAGATTGTGCACCAGAGGAGAGGAGTATTTTGTGGTAGAGGTAAAGGGTAAAGGGGCCCCTGACCATTAGGTCTAGTCGTGACCAACTCTGGGGTTGCGGCACTCATCTCGCTTTATTGGCCGAGGGAGCCGGGATACAGCTTCCAGGTCATGTGGCCAGCATGACTAAGCCGCTTCTGGCGAAACCAGAGCAGTGCATGGAACTGCAGCACCACCCGCGTCCCACTATTTTGTGGTAGAAAGGCTATATAACAAGGCTGACCTGTTTCCTGTCCATGGGCCATATCCCCCCTACACCTACACACAGACACACACACAGAGAGACTCAAACTGGTGTACTCTTTAGGCAGATAGCTAGGAAACTGGCTTATAGCAAGTCAAATGAAGAGTCCATCTCAATCAGTATTGTCAACACTGACTGGCAGCAGCTCTCCAGGGTTTCAGGTAAGGGTCTCTCCCAACCTTACCTGGAGATGCTGCCATGGATCAAACCTGTCATGCTCTGTCCCTGGACTATGTATCTTATATGCTTAATATAATTGTATGTGCAGTGTGGCTTTGCATTGAACTGGCCATAACTCTTTATGGGCTGGAGCCCATAAATACTTGGACACGCAGATTCAAATTCACATTTAAGTACACTACTGAAATACTAGACTACTTGAAGTCAGGGTGTACAAAAAAATATTTAGAACATGGATGGGGAAACCGTGGCCCTCCAGATATTGTTAGAGTCCAATTTCCATCAGCCTGCCTCATCTCTCCCTCTTGGCCCCCCTCCTCTCCAGCCTCCGCTTCTGTCTCTGATTCTGGACTACTCTCTGCCACAGACTCTTCCTGCTCACTAAGCCCTGTTACCTCTTCAGCTTCTGACACTGCCTCCTCCCAGTCTGTTCCCTCTTCTCCCTCTGACCACTTGTTGTCGTCCCACCACCAATTCCCCGGCTCTGAGCCTTCTTCCCTTGGGATTCCCCAGTGCCTCCCACCACTCCTCTGCATAACAACAAGTTTAAGAAGGAAGTCATAAGAACTATTGGCAGTGAAGTCCTATGCATGTCTACTCAGAAGTAAAATTCACTGAGTTCAATCGAAATTCCTCCTAGGTAAATTTGAAGAGGGCTGAAGCTTTAATGCCTGCAGTCCTATAATCCTATAGATACTTTTTGGTGTCATAAAACTCAGAGGGGCTTACTTCCTCCTAGCTAATGTGGTTTGTTGTTGTTTAGTCGTTTAGTCATGTCCAACTTTTCATGACCCCATGGACCAGAGCACACCAGGCACTCCTGTCTTCCACTGCCTCCCGCAGTTTGATCAAACTCATGTTGGTAGCTTCGAGAACGCTGTCCAACCATCTCGTTCTCTGTCGTCCCCTTCTCCTTGTGCCCTCCAATCTTTCCCTTCATGGATCACTGCCTTGCCGTGGCGAAGGGGCTTGAATAACTCAGAGAAGCTATGAGCTATGCCGTGCAGGGCCACCCAAGATGGACAGGTCATAGTGGAGAGTTTTGACCAAACGTGATCCACCTGGAGCAGGAACCGGCAAGCCACTCCAGTATCCCTGCCAAGAAAACTCCATGGACAAAGACAACAGGCATATAAAAGCTAATGTAGTACAAGAGGTTAACAAAAAAAAAAATCTGAAACGAATCTTCTCTGAAAATCTGGGACCAGGCTCACTGGTTTCAAAACAGGGTTGGTTTTAAAAAACAACAACCACCAAATATTTAATATAATGAATTCATCCTGTATATATCTGATCAAATCAAATGTTTAATTAAATAACTGACAGAATATGCTTTTGCACATTAGGTTTCTTGTGTATCATATTCCAGTATTCAATAAGGGGTTTCCTGTTATCTCGAAAAGTCCTGGCCTTTTGTTTCCTTTAATATAATCAAACGAAACTTGACAGTGTATCCATTATATGCTTTGCGGAACCCATTACAAAGATCAGGTGCCTTTTTATTTTGCCAGTTTTAGTCAATATTACCTTCAGCATGATTAATGAATTTCTTACCAGTCCTGCTGTTTGGCAATATCTTTAATTAATCCAAGTAGTAATACCTTGGGATCCAAAAGGTAAGCTATGGCTAATCTTTTCTTTTAAAAGAAAGTATTGAAATAAGCCTATAACTCAACCAAACACTGTCTGTATTTGTATTTTGTATTGCAAACATGTATTCTATTTTGTATCTCAAACAGCTTAACAGATACTTTCTGAGATGCATGCACAAAATGTACCATTAATATACCATTCTATAGGGGGAGAAGAGGAAGTTCCCGAAAGTGGAAATCTAATATTCAGACATACTATGGACCATCTCATGAAGGCCCTCCATCTAGTCCAAATAGATTAAAATGGCTGTGAAACAGAACAAGAATTATCCTGATTAGTTCAAAGCTGTTGAAACCAGAGTCCTTTTCGTTGGAAATTCCCAGGTGTCAAAAAAGGTTATTTATGTATGCCACCACTGCGGTCCATGTTTTGTTAGTCTAAAAATGGAAAACGAGTGAGGTCCCAACTAAAGAAGAATGGCAACTTAAACTGATGGAATATGCGCAGCTTGCGGACCTAACATATAGAATAAGAGAACAAGAAGAACACACATTTAAAGAAGATTGGAATTGGAAAATGTTTATTGAATATATGGGGGGCAGATTGTGTACATTTGGAAACTTGGGCAGCCTTGAGATAAATTCAACAGTGTAAGCAAGTTTTGTTGGTTGTAATAATGGAATACTGAATGGTTTAGCTTATGTAAAACATGCAGGGATATATGATATGCAAAATGAACCATGGAAAGAGAGGAGGAAAGTCACTGACATTTTAAGGTTGTCTAAATGAATATTCTAAAGTGTGAAACAGAAAATTTAATAAAAAAATTGTGTGTGTGCGTATGAAAATGCAAAGCTGTTGCACATCCTCCAGTTCTTTCCCCACCTGCTGAGCAGACAAATGGAACAGGAAATGGAGCAGGAAACAACTATAGCATCTCAAATTGTAGTGGTCACAGTGGTTGCCTGTCTTTAAGGCTGCAGCTCAGTGAAATAGCACCTGCTTTGGTCAATCTCAGGCATCTCCAAAGCAGAGCTAGGAGGGACTCCCCATCTGAAATCCTGGGAAACTGCTAAGAGTCACAGTAGACAATGCTGAACTAAAATGGACCAGTGGTCCAGTCTATGGCAGCTTCCAATGTTCCTATCTAGGAGACTTCTTCCAGTCACAAGGCCCACTTTACGGCACTATTGTGAACCTAATCCAAACCCACAAATTATGTTTCTACAAGGCTTTGGCCTAGACCTGGTATCGGTATTCTCTCAGGCTTAGCGTTAACATTACACTCACCTCATGATGTGGGCAGTTCTCGTGTGATGTCTTTTCTCATTGGCATTGTATATCATGTGCAGGTGACATTCTCTTGCTTTTCACCTCTGGAATCAAGCCCAGTAATTTCATGATCGCTCAGTTTGCCATCTTGCTCACATGTTGTTGTTTAGTTGTTTAGTCGTGTCCGACTTTTCGTGACCCCATGGACCAGAGCACGCCAGGCACTTCTGTCCTCCACTGCCTCCCACAGTTTGATCAAACTCATGCTGGTAGCTTCAAAAACACCATCCAACCATCTCATCCTCTGTCGTCCCCTTCTCCTTGTGCCCTCCATCTTTCCCAACATCAGGGTCTTTTCCAGGGAGTCTTCTCTTCTCATGAAGTGGCCAAAGTATTGGAGCCTCAGCTTCACGATCTTAAGAATGGATGCGTTTGATCTTCTTGCAGTCCATGGGACTCTCAAGAGTCTCCTCCAGCACCATAATTCAAAAGCATCAATTCTTCGGCGATCAGCCTTCTTTATGGTCCAGCTCTCACTTCCATACATCACTATCTTGCTCACATAGTAATTGCAATATTTACCTTAAGTTTATGAGGAGAAACTTTCAGGAGCAGGAGTGCCAGCTTGGCCCTGCAACCGTGAGTGCCTGGGGCTGTGGGTGCCACACAGCATGGATGGCCCTGGCACCGAAATTTGTGGGTGCCCAGCCCCTTCATGGGGAATTTTGTGGCTGCTCAGGCACCCAGAACCCCAGGGAGTTGGCACCTATGTTCAAGAGAAAGATATTTCTCCATCAGAACAGAATACGCAGCACACAGATGGCCAGTAAAGTGCAGGGGCAGAGGAAGGGGTGTGGTGGGTGCGGGCCACCCCGGGTGTCACCACTGAGGGGGGTGACAAAATGCCAGGCAGCACACCACAGGGCCTGCAGAGCACCCGAGCCACGCGTCTCTGCTGGGAGAGACACAGTGGCTTGGGCGCTCACAGGCTCTGCGCTGCCCAAACGGTCTGCCCGCTGCCTCCCCTCCCCCCCAGCTGTAGGGCGGCTGAGTGGGAGGAGGCAGGCTGAGTGGAAGGAGGCCCCGGCCCTATGGGTGGCTCGCTCTGCTCCTGGGCGTGCTGCCCCAGGCACCCAAGCCGCTTCCTCCGCCGCTGGTAATGTGGAGACAGTCTAGCTTTCTTCTTCTCTATGGTTTCAGTCAAGGTACTGGCACAGAGGGACTCTGCCAGAACAGAGTGGCCATATTTGTAAAGGGCAGACACTATGGCCGGGGTAACCACTATGGAACCCTCTGGGGGTTGGACAACAATTACCATTGTCTCTGTCCATGACCAATGGCCATGCAGACTGAGGCTGATGGGAGTTGGAGTCCAACAATATCTGGACCGTACCTCTGCTCTACAGAAACAGAAGCCTTGACTTCCATTTTATTGCTAAGTATTGTTGATGTGATATCTATCCCAGGGGGGTTTCTAAAGAAAGTCACTAACAACAGGGAAGGAAAGTACATTACAGAAGACTCACCTAGGGCAAACAAAACATGTGCCAACCAACATTACAGCTCATTTCCTATACCAGCACATCACAATGTAGTAAGGATAACTTTTAAACTTCACCTCAGTAGCCAAAGCTGGTAGCTGGCTTCAGTTTTTCACACCGTGTAGTTTTGTTCTAAAGGGATGTCTATTTACAACCTTAACTGTACCCAAAGAAGGTGGTGGTGCTTGTTTTTGTCTGATATTTATAGGCTATACTTTATAGTTAAAATATATAATTACTGAAGAAGGCATAATGAAATCTTCTATTGTTAGACAACACACAGCAATTCTAATTAACAGGGGAACTGATAAAAGAATTTACAGTGGCACTGCTGCAGGAAAATGCAATTTCTTAGTATGGCTCTTGCCGTTTGTTTTACGGCACCGCAGTTCTTTCTGCATTCATGGTTGATTTGGGGAACTCATCTACAGCAAAACGTTGTAGGTACCACCAGCTGTGTCAAAAATACTACAGTGTAACAAGCAATAGAATTTCTAGGATGACACCACAGCTAGCAGCAGAGAGGATGGTGGGATGGAGGCACTTACCTGACCTCCTGGTGGGTGAATTGTTGCTGCTTACCATGAGGACAAGGCGTGACGCAGTGCAAACACACAGGCAGGAACCAGATTGCTTCAGCTGATTCATTTTATATTATGAACCGCCCTGTGATCCTTGGATGAAGGGCGGTACAGACATTTAATAAAGAAAATAAAAAATAATTTGCGCCACATTCCCATGTTGTGAAGTGTGAAAGGACTCCTTTAAAAAGTGTCAAGTGTGTTTTGAGAAGTTGTTGTTGTTTTTTGCTCCACTACATCTGCAGGAACAAATCCTTCCAACTCTACGATTCTACGACTCTATGATTCTGTGAAAATAAAGAGTATGTAAAAATTAATTTCATGATCACCCCATGGTAAGATTTTGTCTGTAAAAGCTGATTGCACGAACTTACCTTCAATGCAAGGAACTGACACCAATATCATCCTTTAAATGTTTGTATATTCACCATCAACACAAACTTCTGGATTAAATGAGAATAACCCATCACACCACATTAGATGTCAGAGTGATGGGTTAGGACTGGCAAGAGCTAGCTTCCAGTTCCCACTTAGCCATAAAGCTCTCTGGAAGGGATGTGCGAATCTTGTCACTTTGGTTTTTCTTTCAAATCTTAAGTTCGGTTTTTACACTTCCACTTCAATTTGCAACTTTTTTTTTTTTTAAGACAGTCCGCATAAAAATCCATCAGCATGATAGCATGACTTTCTCCTAATATGCACAAATACAATTTTGCCTAAGACCCATGTTTTTGCAATTTTTCTCCAAATATTTGCATTTTTTACACACATTTCACCCGAGCGTATATGCATTTATTTATTTTTTACATATTACTTGTCTGGAGATCTGCATTGCAGAATTCAGAGAAGTGCAAATTCTGAATGTCTGTTTTGGTTTATGTCTTGTTTCAAAAAAGAGGAAATAAGGCAAGTTTGCCTTGGAATGGAAACTGAATCCAATTTCTTCCCCATCCCTGCTCTCTGGTGATATGGGCCCAGTCACTATCTCTTTCCTTTACCCACCTTGTCAGGGTTGTGGTGAGAATAAAAGGGGGGCGTGTACCTTGAGATCCTCAAAGCAAAGGCTGGATATAGCTGAATAAATAGCGAGAATTGGGATGAGTTTTTCTAGGGCTCTGTTAATAACTCAAGAAACATGATGATGATGATGATGATGATGATAATGATGATGATGATGATGATGATAAATTTGTATCCCATCCATCTGACTAGGTTGCCCCCGCCACTCTGGGTAGCTTCCAGCATATATAAAAACATAATACAGTGGTACCTCGGGTTAAGAACTTAATTCGTTCTGGAGGTCCGTTCTTAACCTGAAACTGTTCTTAACCTGAGGTACCACTTTAGCTAATGGGGCCTCCCGCTGCCGCCGCACCCCCACCACACAATTAATGTTCTCATCCTGAAGCAAAGTTCTTAACCTGAGGTACTCTTTCTGGGTTAGCGGAACCTGTAACCTGAATCATCTGTAACCTGAAGCGTCTGTAACCCAAGGTACCACTGTAACACATGAAACCTTAAAAGGCTTCCCTATACAGGACTGCCTTCAGATGTTTTCTGAAGGTTATAGAGTTGCTCATCTCCTTGACATCTGATGGGAGGGCCTTCCACGGGGCGGGCGCCACTACCGAGAAGGCCCTCTGCCTGGTTCCCTGTAGCTTCACTTCTCACAGTGAGGAAACTGCCAGAAGGCCCTCGGTGCTGGATCTCAGTGTCCAGGCTGAATGACAGGGGTGGAGAATACAAGTGTGTAGTACTGAGGCCCATGCATCAAGCAGCAGTTAAGAGCATCCAGATCTTATTAAAATGAAGAATGCCTACATCTGTTACTCAAGTTATTACAAAGCCACCCGTGTCATACTTAATAAATAACGAGGCAGGCTTTTTAAACAGAAACCTGATGTAAACTTAACACTCACCCCCCAAAAATAAAAAAAATTGTAACGTTAAAAGTGAGCTGCCTATGTAGAAAGACTCCGACGATTTTCCACGCAGAGGAGGAAAGTGGAGCAGCCTGTGCCAAAACTTGGCTCTTTTTGCCATAATCGCTGTGCTGGGATAGCTGTGCTTTAGTACTATTTGTGTAAAACAGTGTCCCAGTGAAATGTGGGCCAGGAGTGAAGGAGGGGGGAAAACGCAGAGAGAGAGAGAGAGCAGCCCAGACACTGCTGGTTTATTAAAGTGCCCTTCATTCACCTGCTCCATCCAAATCAAACAGCTCTGATTGGCGTTCCGTCTTGTAAAACGGGTATTGTGTGAGCAGTGGGCAGCTGGAGTCCTCTGAGAATCTTCACTTGTCAGAGATGAATCAATCATCTAGAAAGATGTCAGCATCTGCCCAAACCATTTTATATTAGAATAAATGGCAGATGGTGGTGTTTTTATATTTAATCAGTTCCACCAAATGCAGTTTCATCTCTTATAAAACTAAACCATCTGCAGCGTGTAGGTGTACAGATCTAGCTAAATGCCCGCTGCAGAAACCTCTTCTCTTAAAGGTAAACGGTACAAGTTAGTGGCAGCATTTTGGCACCATAAACTACAGGAGGAAAGGGAGGGGGGAGAGATTTGACTTTTGCTTTTTAAATATCAGTGTGTTCTTGCAAAGGCTTTCAGTGTAATCATGCCAATAATTTATGTGTAGTATCAAGGCCCGTGCTTAATTCATAATTTAGATGGCACATATCTGCGTCAGCTTGCCCTGGATTGCATGAAAAAAATCACCTCCCCCACTATGTATGTATGAACATACTTTTTTTTTTTTTTTTTGCAAAGGCCTTTGGCTATGTGCAATGAAGTTTATTTACTTCGCTCTGGGTGTAATATTTGTCCATCTGCAGGCCGGTGTGATGAATCTTTTACTTGGAGGGAAGTCCTGCCAAAGTGACAGGTTGCAATGCACACTTACCTGGGAGTGAGCTAGATTGACTAAAACAGGACTTACTTCTGAGTAAACATATATAAACTAGCACTTACCGGTACCTTTAAAAGGTTGTACTGTTATTCCCCGATAAGCGAGCACAGAATGAATTTCGAAATGTGTTTTTTTTATCATTGCTTTAATCTATTGATTTTACTTAGCATTTTATTGAACAAATGTTGATAAATAGTTTTATCATTTTTCGTCATGAGCATTTTTCCTCATTGTTTTCAGGGCAGGGAGATGCTCGAATCCTCTACTTCAGGGATGAGGAAACCTGTGGCTCAACAACTTTGTCTGAATTTTCACTTTGGGGGCTATGGCAGCCCCACCTAGACTACAACTTTCATTAACCCTTCCCAGGGGTGCCAACTTGAACAAACTATTGGGGGTGCCCTAGGTAAGCCCTGCCCTGCATAATTGATCACATGATGTGGTGCATGCAAACCATTTGAATGGCAATGCCCATCAACTTGGGGGGCCCAGTCCCCTCAGTTATTTTATTCGGGGAACCGAAGGGACCTTGGCCCCTAGGAGTTGGCTCCTCTGTCCCTTCCCATTGGCACGGCTGGCTGGAGCCAGGAAGTTGCCTTATACCAAGTGAGGCTGCTGGTCCATTTAATCCAGTATTGTCTACACTCTCCCGGGTTCCAGGCAAGTGTCTCTCCCAGCCCTACATGGAAACACCAGGGATTGAACCTGAGACCTTCTGAATACAAGGCAAAGGTGCTACCACTGAGCTACAACCCATCTGCAAAACTGATGGGAGTCTGGAGGGCTACAGATTCCACACACACCCCACTCTCACCATATAGTACAGTGGTACCTTGGGTTACATACGCTTCAGGTTACAGATGCTTCATGTTACAGACTTCGCTAACCCAGAAATAGTACCTCGGGTTAAGAACTTTGCTTCAGGATGAGAACAGAAATCGTGCTCCGGCAGCACGGCGGCAGCAGGAGGCCACATTAGCTAAAGTGGTACCTCAGGTTAAGAACAGTTTCAGGTTAAGAACAGACCTCCAGAACGAATTAAGTTCTTAACCCAAGGTACCACTGTATATGTTTAGCTGCAGAAAGGCACGGTTTCTACCACTCCCAGTTAATCTCTCTTTCTTCCTTTCTTTTTTTGGTCACGATTTCTGAGTAGAGCAGGTTGGGTACGTTGGCTGCATGGTATTTAACCAAGATGAAAAATAAAAATAGACACCCACAACTTTAACGTAGATTATCTTTTGAGCGCATACGTCTGAGTAGCACCATCTGGGTGGGGTTTGACCAACAGCAGGTTAGAGAGCTGATTTCAAATACAAGCAGATGGATTTCCCCTTACTTTTGGCTGTATGAAGCAAGTACACATCTTACCACCAACTGGACTATTTGTGAGCAAGTAGCATCGTGGAGAGATCAACTATTTCAATATATTGGACTGTGTTCCAGCGTATGCTTCGACTGCAGCATTTTTGATGCTTCTCAATTCTTGGCAATCAACTTTTTGAATTGGAGTGTTTAGTATGTTCCAAGTCCAGTATCTTAAAAGGGCCTACAACATGTCAGAGGACATTTACCCCTTCTTGTTGGTGAACTAAAGTATATGTGCAGTAACATTACTAAGTTGCTAAGAAAAGTCTGGATTTCTTTAAGGATGAACAAACAAACACAGAGAAAGAGACTTTTTTTGGAATACTATCTAAGACTGCAGTCATGTATCTAGAACTAAGCATCATTGAACCCAGTGGGACCTTTTAAGATGGTCAAAATCTAAGGATGCTTCTAGGCCACTACTATTTTTGCCTGGGATTCAATCACATGGTGACAAATTCAGGTTGTACAATTATAGTGGATTTTCGCAGTCCTGTGCAAAAAGAAAAATCCTGCTTATCGGATCAAAAGATCAGGAAAGGGCCAGGAAAATGCACTGGGAAGTAGGAATGTGGGTTACCATCTATTCAATTTGCATTTAAAGGCAGACATGCATAATTTGCATTTTCCAAAACAATATGTGGCAGGTCATACTCTGGACTTTGTTTTCTCAGCTGGGTGGGAACAACGTGATCTGAAAGTGGGGGATCAGCCCCTTGTCATGGTCAGATCACTTTCTGCTAAGCTTTAGGCTTTCAGCACTTTTTCCCCTCAGCAGAGGCGGGGGACCTATGAGATCATCATCTGAGGCCCTTCTCCGTGTGCCTCATCCATGAGGGGTCCAGAAGGTGGCAACACAAGAACGGGTCTTTTCTGTGGTGGTTCCCTGTTTGTGGAATGCTCTCCCCAGGGAAGTTCATCTGGTGCCTTCATTATACACCTTTAGGTGCCAGGTGAAAACATTCCTCTTCAACTAGGCCTTTGGCTGATTAACATCCAATACCCTTTTAAAAACGTTGTGGGATTATTGGTGTTATGTACTGAGTTGAATAGGAATAGGATTCAGAATGCAACAGTCTGATTGGTCCTAGAACAATAGGATTCAGAATGCAACAGTCTGATTGGTCCTAGAACAATAGGATTCAGAATGCAGCAGTCTGATTGGTCCACAGGAGCCACCCAATCCAGCTCCAGGTGGAAGTGAATCCGCAACCTGAGTGGCCTACAGGAGAATCCCGGAATTAGCCAATCACGTGGGGCCCATTGTGTAAATAATGTATATAAAGCAGACATTCTGGGGGAACTTCCATTCCTCCTCACCACTAAGAGCTGAATAAAGAACATGAAATCCACTCTCGACTCTGTGTATATTTCAATTGGTTTGCTTTGTTCTTTTTTATTATTATGCATTTTGTGTTTCTACCGTCATATTTTTAGGTTGTGAACCACCCTGAGGTTATGGGTGAAGGGCAGTACACAAATTTCATAAATCAGTAAAATACAATAAAATAAATAAAAATCCAGGATCTTCAGAAACGGCAAGTTTTACTCTCAGCTACATATAATTGTGTATCTTAACAGCCTAATGCATATAAACAACACTTCTGATTGCCAAATACATTTCGACCATACGGATGTAATTTACCTATCAATATGTGCCACTGAGGAAGACCGTATGGTCAAAATGTATTTGGCAACTGAAAGTGTTACTTGCATTAGGATGTTAAGTGGCACTCTCTTCTGTCATTAAAAAGACCCCTAAGGATCGGTATTGGGGTCTGTGCTTTTGAGCTTGTTCATAAATGATCTGGAGTTGGGGTAGACAGCGAGGTTGCCAGGTTTGCTTGTTCAAGGTGGTTAGAACAAAAAGGGATTGTGAAGAGCTCTTAAAGGACCCCGCCAAACTGAGAGAACGAGCAGAACAGTGGCAAATGCAATTCAGTGTAAACAAAGTGTAAAGTGATGTTGGGGCAACAACAACAAAAATCTTAATTTCACATATACACTCAGCTGGCATTGACTGATCATGAACAAGACCTTGGGGTCATAGCAAACAGCTTAATGGAGATGTTGACCCAGTGGGCGGCAGCTGTGAAAAAGACAAATCGCATGCTAGACATTATTAGGTAGGGAATTGAAAAACAAAACTGACAATATCACAATGCCGTAATACAAATCTATGGAATACTGTGTACTGTTCTGGACGCCTTACCTCAAAACGGATATTGTAGAGTGGGGAAAGCTTCAGAAAAGGGCAACCAAAAGGGATGGTGCGACTCCCCGATGAAGAATGGTTGCAGCGTTTGGGACTTTTGAGTTTAGAGAAGAGGCTAAGAGGTGACATGATAGAAACTTATAAAATTATGAATGGCTTGAAGAAAGTGGATAGAGGGGGGGAAATCTGCAGGTTCTTGTTATGCTAAAACATTTGTATTTCCTCATTCAGTTCAGAAGCTGTTTTACCTTACTGTTTTGTTTTTGATTGGTATATACTGTACACAAATATGCTGAGCAAAATTTACAGGGTAGGGTTGTGTACATTTTGTTACTCAACAAATCTGTAGATCAAGCAACAGGTCAATAAGATCTGACTGCTCAAGACAGCAGTCCAATCAATGGAGTCTGGGATTAACCCAGAGCACTGAAATTAAATCCAGCTCCTGGATCTATATCTGCGCTGTCCACCAACTGCCTTGGAAGATAGCCTTGTACGTGTGTGAAGCCTGGGGCAGCTACCCTTGCTTCCCCCCAACACTACTCCAAATGGCCTGTCACCATAGGCCATGGGTAAGCCCAGGAGCCGGAGCTGGCCCAATAGCCTTCTAAATCCAGCCCACGTACGGTCCGGGAATCAGCATGTTTTTACATGAGTAGAATGTGTCCTTTTATTTAAAATACATGTCTGGGGTATTTGTAGGGCCGGCCTGGTGGTTTTTACATGAGTAGAATGTGTGCTTTTATTTAAAATGCATCTCTGGGTTATTTGTGGGGCATAGGAATTCATTCAGTTATTATTTTTTCAAAATATAGTCCAGCCTCCCACAAGGTGTGAAGGACAGTGGACTGGCCCCCTGCTGAAAAAGCTTGCTGACCCCTGATCCATAGGTGCTGGTTCCTGGGGGCCAAGGCACTTTGGGGCCCCCAATTTTTTTAGGGGGGCAAACCCCCTTAATATTCAGAGGGCATTCAGCTCCTCCCCCTGGGTCCTCACAACCTCGTGTGTGCAATGTCAGGACATTGTGCAACCTCAGGGTATTATATGACATTGCACACATAACACCAGGACGTCGGGCCCCTTCGGTCATCTGGAAAAGCTGGCATCTCTGCCTATCACCAACTCTCTTCGTCCCCAACCACTAGCAATGTACAAGGCAGGGGGAGGCTGGTGTGCTCTAGCCAACAGTGGCTCTTCAAGGTCTGAGCCAGAGAGCCCTTCTTAGCCTGTCAGCTAAGATCCTTTAAATGGCGATGGAACTCTGCTGTGACCTTGTTCTATCTGCTTCTGTATTTTCCCCCAAACCTGATGGAGCTTTGATAGCCTGGTTTGTGCATTCACATCTATGGCATTTTCAGGACTCGAATAAAAAAGAATACTAATAATTGTGCAGAGACACCCTAAAAGAAATCACAACATCAACTAGCAGTATGTGGGGGTTTGAGTTTGGTTGGTGGTGGTTGTTTTTTTTAGGAAATTCACAGCTTGCAACTTTTGGCTAAGCAGGCTCCTACCAGCACACCCTTTAACTGAGCCAACCAACCACACAGGAAGGCCACCTCTGCTGAGAATTCAGCGCATCTTTTATAGAAAATGACAATATGGCACGGGGATTATCTAGAGCTCTCCTGTTGTCCTAGTGAAACATGCAGTGGCCCTGTGATGCACGTCGAGGCAAAACTTTGTGAGTTCCCTGCCCCCCTTATTTGAGGCAAATAAATTGCAAAGCCTACTGGCTCAGCTAGGTGGGCAAATCAAGATAACAGAGACAAAACCTTTGGTTCTGTGCTCTGAGCCAAAAAGAGACCAAGTGCATCATTGATTTGAGGAGGGAAAAGAGGGATCAGTGAGAAATGGGGTTCCTTTTGCATTTAAATACAGACCTACCTAATTCACATTTTCTGAACCGAAAGAGCCACCCTTCACAATTTGCGCTTTTCCAAGTTTTGCAATGCGGTTCTCCAACGTAGCTATGTGTACAAAAATGCATATACTAGAGGGGAAATTGTGCATAAAATGCACTTATTAGTGAAAATGACATACAAATATGCATTGTATCAGGGGGAACTGCTTTGCAAAAAAATGTATATTAGTCCAAATTGCATAGAAAATGTATATATTGAGTTAAATTTGCTCTAAAATACTGATGAGTGTACATGTGTACATTTATTTTTAAAAACTCACGTGTGGAAATGTGGAGAACTGAGTGTACAATTAGAAAAACTAGAAACTGAGAGAAACAGAAATTGATGAATTCTCCCGACATGCTATGGAGCAACAAGACTAGCAGTTGAATCTTACTTCCACACTGGTAACAGGACAGCAGGCTAGCATAGTGGGCACAGAGGAGGCCACACAACAACCACAGCTCTACCTTCACATCATGGATCTCTAGACCTTTTCATCACAAATTAATATATTTGGTACAATTCGATGGTGAGCGTGAGACTTTGCATCTCTGAATCTGGCTTTGAATGCTCCCCAATGGGGAAAATAACCCTGACATGTACATTAAAAAAATCATTTTGGGGATAAGACTGGTCTAAAGCCTTCTCTCACACATGATAGTTTTAGCTCTACAAATACAGTGGTACCTCAGGTTACAGACGTTTCAGGTTACAGACTCCGCTAACCCAGAAATAGTACCTTGGGTTAAGAACTTTGCTTCAGGGTGAGAACAGAAATCGTGCTCCGGAGGCGCGGCAGCAGCAGGAGGCCCCATTAGCTAAAGTGGTGCTTCAGGTTAAGAATGGACCTCCGGAACGAATTAAGTACTTCATCCAAGGTACCACTGTAGTCTTTTGTTTTAGTTCAAACATGCAATCCCTGACCTACAATCCAAAATGGCACAGGAAAAATATCCCGTGATTCTACCAAGTACGTAAACTGCCCTGCAGATTCCAGAAGGGAGGCCATTTTGAAATGTGCAGAATTTCATTACAGCTGCAGTTCGATATGCATTTCCTTTGGAGTAAGCCACATGGAACTCAGTAGGGTTTACTTTTGAGTAAGCATGCATGGGATTGGACTGGTAGAGGTCAATCCCGAAATTGTTGAAGCACTCATTACACCGTGCTTCAACAGAATACATGCTGTGAAAATTTGCCGCTGATTGTAAATATGATTCGCTAATGTTCTCTGGGTTGAATGTACTGTGCTCTTTCCTCCCCCTTCCATCTTTCCCCCTGCATGTAAATTGATCTACTGCGTCAAAACAGTACCATTTAAAACAAAAGGGGTTGATTTATAGCCGGTCCCTAGACTCATAAATCACACCTGCAGTGTGGTGCTCCAGAACCCCTGTGTTCTGCCAGCATTTACCTTTTATAAATGGTCGGGGCTTACCTCCCATTGTGATGGAGCCTAATACAATTGCATTCTTCTCTCCCAGCATTCCCTCTCATTATTCTCACTGGGGAATTCAGACCTCGTTTTTGCATCCATGTCAGGTTTCTTTTCTTAAAAAGAAAAACAGGAAAAGAAAAAGGAATGCTGAATTAAGTATGTAAACTTGTATTTTGTAGCTCTGCCTACTCTCAGACATATGAGGTTGGGCCTCCACCCCACCCCTTTGAGTTACCTAACAAGAGAGAGAGAGAAACAACAAACATATTATTTTACTGAAAAGGTAACTATTTTGAACAAAAGTGGCCGTATTTCAAAATATCACATGCAGAGAGTTTGCGATCTGCAGCTAGCTGAGATACCTGCTTTGGCCTTGATGCCTTTAAATGTTGGTATTTGACCCTGTATCTTTCCATTTCCTTGGTCCTATTAAACAGGTTTTACCTGCAAGATGTGTAAGAGAAGTGGGGGGTGTGGATACCAATCTACTGGCCCTATCCAACCTTTTCTGTATTGTGTAACGCAATAGATAGTTGCTAGGCTCCTGAGAAATTTCTACCTGCTTTGGCACCAAGCATTTGCCCACCCAACTGCTGATAGTTTAGGAGCATTCCTCACACACAAATCAATGGGCAAGAACGTGTACAGTGGTACCTCGGGTTACATACGCTTCAGGTTACAGACTCCGCTAACCCAGAAATATTACCTCAGGTTAAGAACTTTGCTTCAGCACAAAAAAGCGAACTGGACTCCTTGGCAGGTTTTGAATAAACATTCACAAACTTTTTATTGATAATAATCAGCTAAATAGTTTGAGGATCTATAAAACTTTGAAACATGCAGAAAACAGCATTCTTAGAGAAACCAAAGACTGGAACTGAGGGAAGTCGGGGGGGGGGGTTGTGGGGGGGAGGGAGGAAAGATGGGGGGAAACAAGGATGATATGTTTTTGGATAATATGTCTTGTTATAATTTTGAATTAAATTTTTTTAAAAAAAAAGAACTTTGCTTCAGGATGAGAACAGAAATCGTGCTCCGGCGGCGCGGCTGAAGCAGGAGGCCCCATTAGCTAAAGTGGTGCTTCAGGTTAAGAACAGTTTCAGCTTAAGAACAGACCTCCGGGAACAAATTAAGTACTTAACCCCAGGTACCACTGTATTTATTATTGCTACTGGTATTAAATTCATAGACCACTCATCATTCCACAAGAGCCCAGAGCAGTACAGGAGCCTAGGGATGACCTGGCCAGGCTAACCAATATTCACCTTCTTACTATCTAAGACCTAAATGCTAAGGGTTATATCACAATGGCGGTATCCCTTCCTCTCCTTCCACTCCCCCAAATCTGCTCTGGAGGGTCCCCCAACCCTCTGGAATAAATTTGGAGGAAGTGTTGGGAACAGCAGGAGAGAAAAGAAGAGGGATTTTTGTTGTTGTTGTGGAGACTGAAGTCTGCACCCCGTGGAAAAGCAGTGTTGGATATAACTCTAAGTCCCCATTTCCCTGCTCTTCCAGCGGCAAAGGAATGCTTAGGCCTTCCAATGTGGCATTAGGTGTGTGCATTGTGTGTATGCCTTCAACAGCAAACAATCAAGTTTGTAGAGCATTCATCCTAATTTGTTTGCACAAAGTTTGCACAAAGGTTAGGCAGTGTTGGCTATTTAGTGAACATTCCTTTTTATTTGTTTGCACTGTGGGAATTATACAATGTTGCATCAAGCATTACCCTATTATTATTATTATTATTATTATTATTATTATTATTATGGGTTCCCCTAGCCACTCTGGGTGGCTCCCAACAGAAAATTAAAAACATGATAAAACATCAAACATTTAAAACTTCCCTAAACAGGGCTGCCTTCAGGTGTCATCTATAAGTCAGATAGTTGTTTATTTCCCTGACACCTGATGGGAGGGCTTTCCACAGGACAGGCGCCACCAGCAAGAAGGCCCTTTGCCTTCCTAATCACAAAAAGTGAGTTGGGGGTGTGGCTTTGTTGCTCCAAAGCACCAAATCAACTTTAATTGCGCAACCCAGCTCTTAAATAGCAACAGACTGGAAGCACCCCAGGAAACCTATGTACATGGCTTGTACCATGATGGAATCTCCTCTCATGTCGGTTTCAAAAGACTGGAACTGAAAAGCTAAGGAGCTGGGTACAGTACCCATATATATCAAGAAGCAAATTCTTTACTCAATAGAGGTCTTTAGCCTCCCCCCCCCCCCCCCGCCAACCATTCACACATTAAAATAGCAGCATTCCTCTGCATTCTTCAACATGAATGAGTGGGGCCAGGGGCAGAGAGCTGAGCGAAGGATTTCCCTTACTCCTTCCCCCATTTAATTGACACATGAAAAAGATAGTCCAGCTAATCTCTAAAAATGGTAATCATTACAGTCTGAAATTGTTTTAGAAGAAAATCCAGGCGCCCTGACAAGTAGGCTGAAAGGCTTTAATTGAGCAATGGCCTGGATCTGACCCTTATCCCGATCTCAGGGCCTACCATACGTGCTCCAGAAGGGCTATCCAATAGCGAAGCAGGATTCCATACTCGGCATTCCATTTCACTTACAAAATCTTTATTCGGGAAATTTGTTCTCTCAGCTATGGTGATGGGAATACACTGGGGTTTTGTTTGTTTGTTTGTTTTGCTTATCTAGACTTCTAAGTCAGAAATGGCTCATTCCAGATTCTGCATTTCGGCATTGTAACACGGCTGATGTATATATCACACACAGGGCCGGATTTAGGTTTGATGAGGCCCTAAGCTACTGAAGGTAATGGAGCCCTTTATATGTCCAGCTGTCCTTTGTCAACAACAAATTGTTGCTGTTTTTTGGGTTGAATATATGCTATATGGTAATTTATGGACCTAATAGGTATCTAAAGCCATTTGCACATGCAGAATATAGGCGCCCTATATATAGAAATGAGGAAACCAGTGATATTTTAGGGAGCAGGCTAGCAGGCGGGGCCCATTATTAACATCACAGGAGCCTACACAACACGAAACACTGTTGCTGTATGTAGGTTTTGTTTTATTTGTTTTTTTATCTTATATTTGAAAATGTACATCCAGTTGTTGTTTTTTGTTTAATTTTGGGGGGGCCCCAAGAGAGTGGGGCCCTAAGCTATAGCTTGTTTAGCTTATATGTAAATCCGGCACTGATCACATGCACCATGTAGACGTTGCTTTCAGCTCCTCTTCCACTACTGCCCCAATATGTCTTCCAAGCTGCATGGGATTATAAAAATGCCTGGCACACTTTATCACTTAAAGTGAAACCAAAAAGGGTGAATAATTTGCCATAATGTAGATTCTGTCACATCTGCATAGCAAGGTACAGATGTAGATGTAGAGATATCCCTGAGAAGGACCATACAGTATGTGCAGTGATGGCTGGATGCTGAGTGACTCTGAGTGGGAAGACTAGGAAAAGGCTGGGGACAAGAAAATCCTGAATACTGACTGACAGAGGCTCTACAGAGTTTCAGGCAGGGATCTCTTCTCCTACCTGGATGTGCTGGGGAATGAAACTAGGACATTCTGCACTCAAAGCAGATGTTCTACCATTTTGCTATGCCCCTTCCATAGGCCTCGGGAAATTATATCCTTCCTAGAATCAGTCTCCACTAGGGATGGGTGAAACTGAAAATTTTTGTTTCTCTCGGTTTCTCATTTTTCCAGTATTAAATTCAGTCGTCCACATTTTCACACCAGTCACTGGGGTTTGTTTTTTTTTCCATTTCATGACAATTCATCAGCGTTTTAGTGCAAATTTACCATGACATGCATATTTTTGCAAAGCAGCTTCCCCTTATATAGTGCATTGTGCAGATCATTTTCACTGCTTTTCTGTGCACCTCTCCCCTATTGTGTGCATTCTTGCACACATTGCTTGTCTGGAGAACTGCAGTGCAAAATTCAGAGAAGTGGGGGGGGGAGAGAAAGTGCCTGATGTGAATGATGCACTGGTCACGAGCAAACGCTTACCTGTGGAGGTGTTATATGCAGCCAAAATCACTTTTTAAAAGGCATTTAATCTTTATACAACTGCTCTGTGAGCCTTTTGTTTTATTTCAACAAGTGATCCCTTTGGCAAATTTGGACTTGTGTTATATCCTTGGAGAGGGAGTTTGGTAGATAACTGTCATATTATCACCACCATTAATTTCAAGGCTTGGTTTAGAATTGAAAAAGCTGTTGCACCTTTAAGGATTGATAAAGCAGAAATTCAGACTGAAGTGGCACTGTGAACTTCTTCAGAACAAGTTGTGTTTGTTTCCTTTTAGCACAGAAGTGGCATAGCAGTGTAGACTCCCTAGAGATGCCACAGCTATTTTCAGTGGTGACAGGCACCCACCCAGAGCATGACTTCTAACCTGTTCAAACCTCTTGGAATACTAAGCAGAAACTCTTCCTCCATAAAGCAAACGGAACAAATAACACACTCACCCTTTTATTCCTGTAGCATCTGCCTCTCTTTCTATGGCATGCCGGCTTTGCAAGCTGATCGTGTGGTTTTCCACTCATAGATTTCAAAGGGAGCTGGATTAGACCAAATATGCTCTCAATCTGGGGCATGAGATTCCGCAGGGAACTGCACATTTAAACCAAGGGTGATATACAGCATCTAATTAGAAATGAACAACAATAGAAGAGCAATGATTCATCCTCAATACATTATGATAACTCTTATTAGGGATGCAAAGCCATCTCATCTATGCTTTGGTTATCAACTCAGAAATTATGAAGTAAATTAGGTCTTCAGCAAGCTGGTGTAATACTGGGGGAGGGAGGCGTGTGTGTGTGTGTGTGTGTGTGAGAGAGAGAGAGAGAGAGAGAGAGAGAGAGAAATAAAATTCAAGCATATAAAATGTTATTTTACATTAAATGAACCTGCTCGATAGGAGGAAGGAATACATCTACGAACTGCAAAAACATGTTTTAAAGGCACAGGAAATTGTTTATGAAGTTCAAATGGAAGTTTGAATGTGTATTAAACAACCACAATTACCCTAGTAGATGGCAGGATCCAGACTCAATCCAGACTGAACGCAGCATGTTGAGGATGAACGTGAATAATTCCAGATTGTGCAAAGACTATATTTTTTGTGTTACCGACAAGTTAATGCATATGCAGCATGAGAGTAGAAGTCTATCCCTCTTCCAGGATCTCTGGAATTTGTAGCTCTTTGGGGGGAATAAGGGCGGGTGGGGCTGTGGATTAAACTACAGAGTTTAGGACTTGCCGATCAGAAGGTCGGCGGTTCAAATCCCCGCGATGGGGTGAGCTCTCATTGCTCGGTCCCTGCTCCTGCCAACCTAGCAGTTCGAAAGCATGTCAAAGTGCAAGTAGATAAATAGGTACCGCTCTGGCAGGAAGGTAAACAGTGTTTCTGTGCGCTGCTCTGGTTCGCCAGAAGCAGCTTAGTCATGCTGGCCACATGACCCGGACGAGCTGTACGCCGGCTCCCTCGGCCAATAAAGCGAGATGAGCGCCACAACCCCAGAGTCGGCCAACTTGTTGTGGGGATTCAAACCGCCAACCTTCTGACCGGCAAACCCAAGAGGCTCGGTGGTTTAGACCGCAGCGCCACCCGCGTCCCTGCATTATAAATATAATGAATAATAAACCAACAGATCATAAGGAAATACAGAACTGCATTATTTTGCCAACTATGTAGAATAACTTCTTTTCCATTGTCCTCTCATCAACACATTGTTAATTCTTGCATACTGTTTCATTGTCTTTATGGCAATAATTGCAAACCTGGCTCTCCTTGAACTATGACTCCCATCCTAGTTGACCACTGACCATTTTGGCTGGGGCTGAAGTGAGTTGGGTACAACAACATTTTGAGGTCCCCATGTTGGTTACCCCTGCTTTATAGCACAGAACTACTCAACTGAATCTGTGAATGAAATATGTCTATTGCCGTGGTTCCCAACATGGGGCACACACCCCACAGGGGGGCAATTTGATTTTTAAGGGGGGCAATTCGAGAATGAGTTAGACCAAGCTAATGGCCTCTTAGGCTTCCTCCACGTGAATATGAGCTCACTTTTTGAAAAATAAGAATTATATGTCACAGGGGGGCATCGGGATTTTAGAGATCCTTAGGTGGGGCATGGCCAAAAAAAAGGTTGGAAACCACTGGTCTATTGCAAGACAAATCATCTACTGATAGTGATCATCTACAAGTCAGGCACCATAAAAAATATTTTTGTACAAATGTATTTCCTTCTCTGCATCAATTCTGACCGGGCTATAAATGAGGTGCAGAGAGATTTGCAGAGATTCTTTTTTATAAACTGAATATTACAAATATATAAGCATTTGCACATGTTTATGCCACATACTTATATTATGGGGAAAAAACATAAATATTTGACCTGCTTCCATAATGCAGTGCTAATAAAATCTTTTAAAACAACAGGCTTCAAGAGGGATTTGCAACACGAATGAATGGTTGTCTTGCGTAATTGTGTTAGTTTTCTTGGTTATAGTACTACTGCTTCTGTCTTTGTTTCCGACGTCCTTTTACACTGCATTACTTGTGGCATTACACAACTGTAGCTTTTTGATCAATATGCTCCCATGTCACACTTAATTTCACTCACACCAGCAGATGTGGTGTGATACACGGCATGTCACCATCACCACCCTTTATGCACACATGTGCTTCTGCCCCCCCCCCAACGCATCACATGTGTAAATGGCAGGAAAGAACTGCATGCCGGGATACCATCACAATCTTCATCCTGCGATTTTCCAGGTTAACGGAGATGGAAGCCATTTTATTTTCCTGGAAGCGGTTAACAGGGAAATGAGTGCTTAACGTCCACTAGAGTCACAGAAATTGCAATATTCTGCCTCCCTCACAACGCTTTGCAATACTCGCTGTTCAGCAAACCTGCACGGCATGAACAAAAGATGGCCCACTTGCGTTTCCCAACTTATTTTTAGCCCCAAGTTCAGTTCCAATCTTTTTATCTTTTGAAATCATGAATTTCCAGTATGACAGATAAGAGATCAGATATGTGTGGAGTTTTTACCCATCTCTTCAAAAGGAGAGCTGCTGACTGTCTACTGTATTATAATGGAAGTGGCGCTTGAATAACAATAGAAGGAACAGGCCTATTATTGCCTTAAGCTATAATTAGTTTTCTGTCAAAGAAGTAAGCAGATTTCAATCAGAACTGTGTGTTTTTTTCTAAAAAGAAAAAGGGGGGGATTCAGGATCTTTGCAGCAGAATAAAGTGATTAATTCTCCTCCCGCAGAAGTCATACCCCCTAGATTGCTTTTACGGGCCTGTACAAATGTATAGAACTTTTACACATTTCTAGAATGAGAGTTGCTGTTGTTGTTGTTGCCTACTTAACTGTCACAGGTATCCACAAAGAATCCTGGGATCTGTAGTTTTGTGAGGGTGCAGAGAATTACCTGATAAAGACCCATAATGTCCCTCACAGAACTACTGTTCCCAGAGTACCAAGAGAGAGAGAAAGAGAGAAATCAATGTTCGAATCAATTTAAATTTGGGGAGCGTAGGGACACCCTTAGTGACACAGGTGGAATCTTTTGTTGTTGTTTAGTCTTTTAGTCGTGTCCGACTCTTCGTGACCCCATGAACCAGAGCATGCCAGGCACTCCTGTCTTCCACTGCCTCCCGCAGTTTGGTCAGACTCGTGTTCGTAGCTTCGAGAACACTGTCCAACCATCTCTCCTCTGCCGTCCCCTTCTCCTTGTGCCCTCCATCTTTCCCAACATCAGCGTCTTTTCCAGGGAGTCTTCTCTTCTCATGAGGTGGCCAAAGTATTGGAGCCTCAGCTTCACGATCTGTCCTTCCAGTGAGCACTCAGGGCTGATTTCCTTAAGAATGGATAGGTTTGATCTTCTTGCAGTCCATGGGACTCTCAAGACTCTCCGAAAGAAAACTGGTGTGTGGTTTTTCGCAGGGACTGAAACTTGAGAATGGAGACCTTCATCTCTCTTCTGCCAGCTCCTTTGCTAAAATATTAGTTTAATATTATTTGAGAGATTCATCTCCTTCTCACCCTCCTCTCCCCTCCCTGCTCTTTGTTGGCATCTCATTAGAGCCCATTAGTGCAATACTTGTTACAGTTCATTTAGGGAGGGGGGGAAATCATTAAACACATGTCACTTCAAAACTGTGCGACATAACATGAAATTGAAATGACCTTCATTCTGGCACGGAGCAGCACTGACTTAGAGAGAGCACTCCTGAATTCTAAAAAAAAATAAAAAATGTTACTTAGCCTGATAATAGAATTCCAGCAACATGCCAAGACAGTGACGACCATTACCTACTGCTTGATAGCAGAAGTCTGCAGATTTCAGCTAGAACAAAGGCATTAAGGGTTAGTAACCTTTCTTTGTGAAACTGAACTAGAAAGGGGTGATGTAATGGTTCTAGGGGTTGCTCGTGCGTAAGCAGGTACCTATCTCCCCGTCTGGGTGCAAACACCTGGCTGGGTTGCCAAAGTGAACCTTTTTCTGTCCGGACAGCCACTCACCTGTGGCTGACTCAATCGCTGGCAGAATCCGTCAGTGGGCGTTTCTTAAACTTCTTCCAGCAAAGAAGTTCTTTGACGCCTAGTCTCCGCCTACCCTCTCTGCGCGGAAGCCTTCTGCGCAGGGAGGGCATGGGCAACAGAGGACCCCTACTCTCCCCGCTGGTCCCCGGCAAGGAGTCATGAAACCGCCTTGCCACTTCCCCCAGCTGCCCCCCTTCTCCACTGGTGCTACGCCAGGGGCGCCGACTTATAAAAAATATTGGGGGGGCCCATACCGGGGTCCTGCCCCGGGAAGTTTTCTAAGTTCCAATGTCAGCGGCGCCCGGCAGAGCAGCCCTCTCGGCCACGGCAGCCTGGCTCTCCCAGCCCCCGGGGGCCGCCCTCCTCCCTCGTGCACCCGCAGCGTTCCCGCCCGGGGAGGCGGCGCCCCCAAGGACTCAGGTTCGGTTGTACCTGAGAAGCCGAGCACCTTGGCTCCCAAACAAATCGGCTTCTGAACAATCGAAACCCGGAAGTGAGTGTTCTGGTTTTCAAATGATTTTTGGAGGGCGAACATCCGGTGCGGCTTCCGATTGGCTGCAGGGGGCTCCTCTGGCAGAAGCCACACTCTGGTTTTCAAATGGTTCCAGGAGTCCAATGGACTCCCGGAACGCATTCTGTTCGAGAACCAAGGTACAGTGGACGCTCGGGTTGCGAACGTGATCCATGTGGGAGGCACGTTCGCAACCCGCAGTGTTCGCAACTCACATTGCTGCGTCTGCGCACACACAGGTTGTGATTTAGCGCTTCTGCTCATGCACAAGTGCCGAAACCTGGAAGTAACCCATTCCGGTACTTCTGGGTTTCAGTGCATCCATAACCTGAAAATGCTTAAGCTGAAGCATCTGTAACCCGAGGTATGACTGTATGTACCAGTCCTAAGGAACTGGCCAAGTAAGGCAATCAGCATCTGCAGGTCCCTTGACAGACAGGAGAGAAGCCACACTCTTGGATTTCTGTTGGTAGATGCCTCTTCCTGAGATGCTTGTATTATGCTAATCATAGAATCATAGAGACAGAAGGGACCCCAAGGTCATCTAGTCCAGCCCCCTGCAATGCAGGAACCGTCTGAACAGCTCTTATTGTCAGAAAGCTCTTCCTGATGTTGAGCCGGAAA